ACCCAGGATATTGCCTAACTAGCATTGGATCTACTTTTGAAGTACAGTTTTATAAAAGGACTAAACCAAGTGTGTATGTAATGAGTCAAAAGGACGTGCTCTGCCAGTAGTAGTCTGCAGTTTCATATTTCCTCTCCCCGGGCCCTACTGATAGGACCAACATAGGCCACAGGCTTACAGGGAAAACCAATAATATTAGCTTCACGTCGCTTGGCATACATGCATCCCATTAGCCTATAAAATTTTCATAGGCACAGTAAAACCACAACAAATGAGAAAACATTTGGTTCAAGTTACAGTCATGTTTATTTAACCAGCATTTGCTAACCCAAAGGAGAAAAAAGAAATCAAGGTAATGAGGATGAAATGAAATCAACTGTCCTGTGATTAGTAAGTAGATTTTAGTGGACAATAAAGCCTTTCGATGGTGCTATTATGAAAATCCATAAAATGCTTTTCAAGATTCGTTGTCCAAATCTTTCAAAATAACAAGAACCATTGAGCGACTCCTTTGTCTATTATCCAACATAGGATGGAACAGCTAAGTGAAGGAGCAAAGTACTTCAGCTATCATTACACACCTTAAGAACCTTAAAACGTCAAAAATATATACACATAGTAGAATCAAAAGTGACAAAAAGAGGCAGAAAGATCCCCAGACTTGAGGGTACTCTCATACTCTCATTCCATTTGTTCCTGCAAGGCACAGAGCACGTGAACTTCAAGCCATGAACGCCATGGACACACCTGCTGAGACAGTGTGAGCCTGTGAGACAGGCAGAGGCAGGTACACTGGAAGATCTGAAGGCTTGATGGAGAGAAGTGGGAGTAATAGTGGGGAGCAGGGCAAAGTGGGACAGGGTAGAGGGGCCCAGAGGGCACCAGTCTGCACGTGACAGAGAGGTGGGAGGAGTCAGAGAGGACAAGGCCTGCAGACGTTAAAAACCTGGGAAAGATCTTTCAGACACATAACACCCAAGTCTTACAGGCAATAGTTAGCAGGTGGGAAAAGAAGCAGGAGGGCCCACGGATGAAAATCTCTGGGACAGAAAACCATGGAAAAGCTTCGGAAAGGACAGAAAGGCGAAAGGGACTTTTGGCTTAAAGCAGTAAGAGGTAAAAACGGACCCCGAAAAGGGGGTGAGGGGCAGAGCCAAGGATGCTGGCAGCCAGACCATGTGTGCCCTGCATGGGACAGGTCAGGACTTTCCTCGTTTTAAGTTACTTTAGAGGGAGCAGCAGTGAATACTGAATATTGTCTCCCTTGGGGAAATCTAAAAAAAACCAAAGCAGTCGAGCTACCTGAGCTTCCCCAGGCTCTGGTCCAGGCACATTCGGGGAGAGACCCCCACCAACATGGAAAACCCTGGGTGCAATGGCTGCAGCCCAGTAGGATAAGCTACATGAAAGGACTGTGACAACACTTCATTGTCGGTCACTGACTCCCTCAGACACAAACATAAAGACCAGAGAGACAATCATGAGTGAAGAAATATTTGTCAGATACGGGTATGATAGCTCTTCTGAATCCAGATGCCCTACCCAGAAACTCCAGGAATTGCAAAGGTCCTTATATCCTTGGTGTGTTTACCTTCCTGTCATGTGTTTTTCAAGATTTAAAAATCCTACCTGAGGCATTAGACCATGGAGCTCTTAGTAAAGGATCTCCCTGATTTATTAAAATGGAAGCTGGCACCTGATGCATTTCCAAAGGGTTTTTTGATACCTTCCAGATCTTAACTGCTTAGGTTATTTCCATTCAATGCAATCTGTCACTGAGTGACTTCCGAGTGCAAGGCAGCGAGCTGGCTGCTGCGGAGCTACATGGATGAATCTTCTCCGTGTCCATCTCGGGTTGGGGAAGAGGCGTCTCCTTGCACAAGGAGAGATGCATGGAGGGAAAGCAAACTTCTCCATGACCTGACCCGCCTACCTCCCGCTAGGAAGTGCTTTTTCCAGGAACATGTTTAATAATTAAAATTTTAAGAAAAGTCAAGGAAACCTTCTTTCTTAATATCTGGTGACTACAGACATTGCTGTGCGTTCATTTCTACGTCGTTCGTCTGAGCCAAGACTACGTCCAATCACTCTCATCAAAATTGCATAACCACGGTATGTCAAGTTGTTTCTTGTTGCGACTGTAACTTGTAAAATTAACCTTCAGGACTGAGATAGATGGGCGAGCTACATAAATGCCTACGTGAAAAGATATGTGTATATATCACTTACATGCCACTTCGGAGAAGCCCTTGAATTATGATCTCTGAAAGTCACAACTGTCACCGGTTATAAAATACAGTTTCAGTGTTGCAACCCTCCCTGCACGCAGGCCCTATCCCTGTCTTCTCAGTTTTCTAAGCAGTGCGTTACACTGATCTATTGCAATCTGCTTTTCCCGTTTTAACGAGAACCTAATTAATCACAACATTTACTTTTCCCACGCTGAGGGACTTCTAACATTCCACAGAAGGACCACAGCATGGCCCCAAATGCCCCCGTTCGTGCCTCTTCTGACTCCGCATTGTATTGATTCGTCCAAATGAACCTGCTGATACTTATCCCACTCAGGACACAGTGGGAATGAGTCACCTGCCCTCTCCTGCCCGTTGTGGGAGGGGCCACACCTCCCTCTCCAGCCTGGGGCATCCCATTCTCTGAGGGCAGAAGGGGGCCACTCTGAGCCTGGAGCAAGCTGTTCAGGATGGGACATTGGAGGCTCACCTGGTCAAAACTCCAGCCCAGGGCTAAGGCGTCATCAGCCTGGCCAGGGTCCCCTCCATGGGGTGACCCACCCCTTCCCTGGTGAGGTTTTTTGAGTCACAGCAAATAGTAGCAATTAAAATGAACAAGCTCTTGATTTATACCTTGGGATTCTTCAAGAAACTCCAACTACTGTAGATAGTGGCCTATTAACTCCCAGAAACCCATGCTTCATGATGACGGGAGACAGAGTTGGGGGTGGGGGTGGCGAGGGGTGGAAGGATAAATTACTAGCCAAGCAAACAAAATGATCAGTTCTCTCAACCACCGACACAGAGTCAGCACTGGAGTAGGAAGCAAGAACCTCAGTGTCTTTCTAGGATAAACATTCAACAATGGGGACAAGACCTCCCTAACCAACCAAGGCCATTTTTCTTGGAAATCTGTCTAAATGGAGATCAGCCTGACAAGAGATACAGCCCACTCACTCCTCCTCAGGCGTCCATCCACTCAGCCCCTAGCCCAGTTTGCTGTCTTTGGTGCTTTTCCCAGTAGCCTTCCAGGGCCTTTCTGGGAGCCCAGTTGGCACAGCAGGGAAACTTGAGGGGAGGTTCATGGCTGGGACACAGATAAAGACACTCAGCTGTCCTGTCATCGCCACTACTTATGTAGCAGAACAAAAACAAGTGATCAAAGTCTTTGTGAATTTCGTGTCTGATCAGTTACTTTTCCCAATAGCCAACATAGAACAGTTGTATAGGATCTGCTACTGATCCTACAGTCCAGCTCTGGAAGTATGTAAAAGGGAAGAAGACTCCCAAATTGAGCATCTTGGACTTAAGGACCCTTGAGAAACATCACCTCCTCGCACCACCCCCCAAGACAGCTAAGGTTATTGTAACTGAAAGGTTATTCTCATTAGGTAGAAGGTGAGTCCCACTGCTGGGAGTGGGGAAATGTCTGTAACATCTGTCTGTGTAATGAACTTGTCACTTCCCCAAACAGTCCATACTGTTTCCTTTTAAAAAAGGACTACACAAAATCTGTGGTGTGGCAGCCCCCCTCCCAACCTCTGAGTCACAGCCTGCGTGTCTTTGCCGAGGCTCTAGGTGACCAGGGTGTATCACTTTCAGAGTTGCTCCAACAGCCGAACTTATGGCTGCCTTCCAACCACACACAACACAATCGCTGTCTATTTTAAAACAATTTTCCTAACCCACATGTGATGGAAGATGCCTCCTACATAGGTTTTCAACTTCCTACTGGAAACAAAACATTCCTGTCTCACTCGGAGCCTTTCGTCTTTCAGGACTAATGCGTGTGTGTGTGTGTGTGTGTGTGTGTGTGTGTGTGTGTGTGTGTGTGTTTTCCACCATGCAACTCTTGGAGCAAAGAAAGCCACCCCAAATTTTACCATTGTACCTGAGCCAATCACGAGCTTTGGAAGAGGAATGAATAAGAGAGCCCCTTAAGCCCAGGGACTTCTCTCACGCAAACAGCAAGTGGAAAAAAAAATAAAATCTCTCGCTAGAGGGAGGGGGCAGGGTGGATGAGAGGAAGGGCATTAAGCAGCCGACCAAAGGCAGCCAAGGCGGCCGCACTTAGCGAGCTGCCTGCACAGAGAAGCCAAAGCTTTTTCCTGTTCAATAACCAAGCACTCTCCGCCAGGCCTCCCATGAGCACGAATAATAAACACATCGAGGTGGGCAAACAAGATGCTCCGAGATCAGCCACCCCCCAAAAGGTCAAAACTTCAGAAACCCCGCGGATCACAGCACCCTCAAACATATCCATCAGTCGCAGCGGGAGAAGGGACTTGGAGACTCAGCAAAGGATTCTGAATTTTGTGGGATTTTTTTTTTCCTTCCAAGCTCTGCCTTGCAAAGTACGGCAGCTACATGCAAAGCTAGAGAAGGGCAGGAAGGCTGCGGGCGGCAGGGGTGCGGGTGGGAAGGGAGGGGTGCCTAACACCAGCCACCCAGGCCTCAATCTGACGAAAGCCATCAGCAGCCCCAACCGCATCCCACCCCTCCGCACAGCCAGCAGACGCCCCCTGCAGCGACCCCCCCACCCGCGCACCCCGGCTTCCGTCCCCGGCAGCTCCAGCAGCCCAGCACCAGCAGCAACCCCAGACCCGGCCGCGCGCCGGCAGCGCCACGACTGTGGCTCCCATCCCTTCCAAGCGGCAGACACCCCGAGGCCTCCCTCCCAGCCCACCCGGGCGTGCCAGGGGAGTCGAGCCGGGGCGCGCACCGCCGCCAACTCCCCACACCCCGGGGCTGGCCACGGCTCCCGCTTACCTTGGGCGCTCGCGGGGGGGGCTGAAGGTGGCCAGCCTCCCGCCCCCCGCCCCTTTCCTCTGCGCCTGGTTTCTTCCTCCCGCCTCCTCCTCTTCCTCCTCCTAACCACTGTGTGTCCGGGGCTCCCCCTCCTCCCTGCGGCGGGGAGTAAAAGCCGAAAACCCCGAAGCCGGGCCCGCGTGCTTGCAGGCGGGAGGCGGCGGCGCGCGGCCAGCTCGCCAGCAACTGAGCGCGGCGCGCGGCTCCCAACTAAAGTGTGAAAGAAGCGGCGGCCGCGGCTGCTCTGCAAGGAACGTTCCCCCCCCCCCCCCCCGCGGAGTGGGCAGGGAGCAAACGAGGGAGGGGACGGGGAGGGAGGGGACCTCCTTGCCCAGTCACTCACTCGAGGGGCGGGGGCAGCCAGACACTCCCCCACGGCCTGGCCCTCCCCGCGCAGGTCTCCCGCGCGTCCGGCTCCCCTCCCCGGGGAGGGGCCTGCGGAGGCTGCGAGGGCGCCGCGCAACGGAGGAAGGGACTCGGCGAGAGGGCGACCGGCGCTCCCAGGGGCTGCCTAGGGCTGTGGGGAGAGAAGGAGAGAGGAGAACCCGCCTGTGTGCGCGTGTGTTTGTGTTTGTGTGTGCGCGCGCCGCGGGGCCAGCGGGAGGGGAGAGCGCGGCGGGAAAGCTGCGCCCGGGGTCTGTCACCCAGGCGTCGGGATGGAAGCTGGCGGGCCGCTGGGAAGCCTGGTGGGTGCAGCTCTGCGGGAGACCCAGGCCATTCCGTGGGCTCAGCCCAGCGAGCCACGCCTGCCGGATGCCGAGAGAAGGCCCGGCGTCCTCGGCGTGCGGCGCAGGTCAGCGGCCCCAGCCCTACCACCGAATCGCCTCCACCCTGTCCTGGAGCCGTGGCTCCTGCAAGACTAATGAAGCTTGGGCGACTCGGCACTAGCGGCAATGAGGCAAAGATTCGGGCGCACTCTGGGTCCGGGACTTGGAGTCCTTCTCCCCCTCCCCGCCCTTCCCGGCCTCTTGGGACTAAAGGGCGGAGGCTGCGCCTGCCGGGCACGTCTGGGCTGGTTGGGATCCAGAAAGGTCGCTGTCCACCAGTTTTTCTGCTCCGCTTTTTGTGGACCCTCACGAGAGGTCAATAATTTCCCACCCTCTGGGAAAAGGTATTTTTCTTCTTTCACCGGTCAGAGCGGGTGTTTTGTGTGTGTACTGAATTGGTCTTTCCGCACTTGGAGTGCCTGGATGCTTTTGTGCAGCCCCCGCCTACCCCGCCCCCATTTCGCTGCTTCTTCAGTGCCCTGGACACGTGAGGAATGTCAGACCTCCGGGGTACCCAAGAAAACAACGGGGGCGGGGGGGAGCCTCCGAAAAAGGGTCCCCAGGGTTGCACACAGACCCGGTCATTTCTCGCTTTGGGCCGAGATGAAGTTGGGAACCAGAAAAGGACGCATCAGAGTGTGACAATGATGAGACACTTAACTGGAAAAACAAAATCATCATTTAATCAGATGGATTCATAGCCGCCCATAATGGCCAGGAAGTCTGCCTTTTTCAAAAGAGAAACAATTTTCCAAGTGGGCTCCCTTTTTCCATTTAAATGGCTAGTATCACATTGTTTTTGAAACTGACTTGTATTCCACTTTTATCTTTTTTTCCATGACCCCTTAACCCCCTTACACCTGCCCCCAGCAGTCATATCCATGAGTCCTTTTTCCTTTTTGCTCGGTCCTTCCACTCCCAAACGTCCACCTGCTCTCCATCTGTGAGTCTGTCTCTATTTGGGTTGTTCAGTGTGTTCATTAAATTCCACATATAAGTGACATCATATGGTATTTGTCTTTATCTGACTGGCTTATTTCACTTACTGTAATGTTATCCAGGTTCATCCCTGCTGTCACAAAGGGTAAATTTTTTGTAATATCCAAGTAATATTCCATTGTGTAAATGTCCTATAGTTCTTTTATCCACTCAATTAAAATTTATTTTTATTTATTTATTTTCTTTTCAGCGAGGGGAAGGGAGAAAGAGAGAGAAACATCACTATGTACTTGTGTATGGCACACCCTCTACTGAAGACCTGGTCTTGCAACCCAGACAGGTGTCCCGAGTGGGAATCGAACCCTCCACCCTTTGATTCTCAGGTGGGCACTCAATCCACTGAGCCACAGCAGCCAGGGCTCCACTCACCTTTTGATGGACACGTGGGCTGCTTTCATATCTTGGTGATCATAAATAACGCTGCGATGAACACAGGGATGCTTCTGTTCATTCAAATTAGTGTTTGGGGTTTCTTGGGATATATTCCCAGAAGTGGGATCACTGGGTTAAAGGCAGTTTTATTTTTAATTTTTTGAGTTATCTCCATATTGCTTTCCAGAGTGGTTGCACCATTCCACTTCCTCTTAAAGCAGAGCAGACTGTCCATATTCTAGTTCATCTCTCTTTTGAGAACCAGAACACTACAGTCTAGCCTCCTCAAGAGGGAGAGGTAAAGAAAGGAGGGTATGCTAATTAAGATTCCTACCAGGGGCCGCCAGCCACCATCTCTTACCCTAGGCGACTTGTTTCATTGCTTTTAGCCTTTCTTTCTCATCTGTAAAATGGGATGCACAGACTAGTTCCTACCTTTCATAAGCTTGCTATGAAAGTAAAAGGAATATAAAATAAGGTGGCAATGTGTGCAAAACACTGCATAATTGCTGGGAAGAACTCAATAAATATGAGCTGTTATTTCAGATACATAATTTAACCCCAAATTTAGTAGACTTTTTTTTTTTCTCTTCGCATCGTTTCTTCAAGTTGAAGGAGGAAATCTATCGGCTGTCTTCATCCCAAATGCAGTGAACGCTCCTCTGGGGTGTTTAGGCCGCGCCTGAACATAAAGGATATTGAAGGATAGCAGGCTTTTTTGTTTCTCTGCCTCTTTCCTTCCCTCATCTATACAGACCACCCTGAACAGGCCACACTCTATAAATGTTGACCTGTGTTGTATTCTATCCTATCAGGGCTGGGAAGAGTGACTGACAATGTAGATTTCTTGAGGGCAAGGCATTGTGGGCCTTTTTTGAGTTGCCATCCTGAAAACTAACAGAGGGCCACCATGCAATCACTTCATATATGTGTAAGTTAAACAATATCCATACGACGGCCTTTTAAAGTACGTTTTCATTATTCAGAGTAATACATCTTCATCGCAGAATACGGTTGGCTCTTGAACAATACAGGTTTGAGCCGTGTGGGTCCACTTATACCTGGATTATTTTTCAATAAATACCCGTCCTGTTTTTTGATGATTCGCAGCTGGGAGTCCACGGAAGCAAAGGGTAAACTGCATGGATTGATCTACCGTATTTTATAAGGGACTGAGCATCCACGGATTTTGGTATCCCTGGGGGTCCTTGTACCGGTTCCCCACAGATACCAAGGGACAAGTAAGTGTTGGGGGAAGTCAAAAGTTATACATGGATTTTTCCACTATGCAAGGTCAGCGTCCCTAACCCCTGTGTTGTTCAAGGGTCAACTGTATTTAGACATTTCAGAAACTCACCCAAGCAGGAAGAAAATTAAAAATCACCATAATCCTACCATACAGAGAGAAGCAGTCCATTAGTGCTTCAAGTATACCCATGTTCCCTTCCTTTATTTCCTTACTATTTCATTACCGGACATTTATGAAGTACCTAGTTAGGGACGGGACAACTTCCCAGGGCCAGAACAGGTTGCATGCTAGTGCGTTTTGTTCCTCAGTAGAAACGACTGCTCAGAAGCAATACTTTATATGGAAGTGAGGCTTTCAGACAGTGTACAAAACGTCCCTGAAAGGAATCCTGTAATTAAGTGGTAGGGCCGACCAGAAGCAACCCTAGTTCTGTAGGGTGGAAAGCATTTACCCTTTGGGGAGCCGTCTTCAAGACAAGGAAGACAGAAGTGCAATGCCCCTTGGAATGAGGGGTCACGAACTTAAGTCCCTTTTGCTTCTCAGTACACCTCTTTTTGTGCTGGAATGTCTGTAGAAATGAACTGTTTGATAAGTGTTTAGGGTGCAAACTCATTCCTGGGGTCAACAGGATATCTCTCCCTTCCCTTCTCAAGCAAGAAGAGTGGAGACTTCCACTACCCACCCCCAATACACGCACACGTGCTCTTTTGCACACAGCCACGTAAGGGGCAGTGGAAGTAGGGGGGCTTGGAGCAACGGCTACAAAAGAGGGTAGGCAGTGCCCAGTGCGAGGGGAGCAGACAGACAGGGTGGGGCACTGAGGTTCTGGAGAGGCTCCTTAGGTATAGGAACACGCCACAAACCACGGAGCAGGAGGTGCCTGCAAGTCTCTTTGGTCACCGCAAGCTAAATCTACTAGACATTTTATCACAGGGTAATCTCTGTAGCTGTTCATCATTATTAAATGACTATAAACAGATTTATGTCAAAAGAATGAAACATGATTCGCTGTCTCACAGGTAATAAAACTCTCTCCCCCTTGCCCTTCTACTCTACCAGAATCTCTGAATTCCATAACTTCAAACACTCTAAGTACAATTTTAAAAAATTATATCTGGTTTTTGGTCGGCAAAGTTTAATTTTAATCTTCAAAGGCATTACTACCATCATGAATTGTCTTTTATCTTTAGCATTTTAACTTATGAATACTTGGTTCTATAGGGACCATTCGTAACACATGAATTTGAATCTTTTGTTCTAATTTTTAAGTAGAGTGTTGTGGATTGAATGTTGGTATCCCCCAAAATCCATATGTTGAAGCCCTAACCCCCACCCCCACTCCCCCCGTAATGTGAATGGCATTAGGAGGTAGGGCCTTTGGGAGATGAAGTTGTGAGGGTGGGGGCCACGTAATGAGATTAGAGCCCCTTTAACAGAGGAGGGCGCTCTTCCCAACCTCCTAGTCCCTGACCCCCACCCTCACCCCACACCAGGACACAGCCATCTGCAAGGCAAGCAAAGGGCCCTCTCCAAGAACCTGACCATGTTGGCACCCTGATCTTGGACTTGGGCTGTGCTGTTTTGCTGTGGCCGCCCAAGCTTACTGAAACCTCTAGGCTCCCTTTACCATTGACTATAAAAAGGAAATACAGGGAAAATGCAGATTGATTGAAAAAAGAATAGTAAAAGCTATGCATATAAAAAACAGAAAAAGCCTCTTGTAACTTATGTAAATCTGCATGACTTTGCTTTATGTGATTTATTTTAAAAGGTTTTAATCGGGTTAATTTTTCTAAATAATCAAGTTCAAAGCAGCTTTGGAAGGATTATTCAGAAACAAGTAAATATCC